TGTCATCGCTGCTTTTGGTAAATAAGCTCGGCAAAAAGATAAGTAACTTACACTTCTGCATGGTCTTTTTGAATCACTGGTTGGCAAAACCCGCTGGTGTGCGCGATTACCAACACCGAAAAACAAATGTTATTTTCCATCACATCCTATCTTTAAACACATTGCAATTAATGAATATTTAGATTTTAGAGATGTCTGCATGTCATCGTTGTTATCATTGTCATTAATTAAGAGCTTATATTGACTTTTCCGCTTCTTTATTCGACAACAATTGATTCTTCCAATATCTGACTACATTTATGGCTTTCACTAAGCGGTTCTTGATGTCCTTGTTTGCTCTTCCATCATGTCTGACTGTGTTGCCTAGGTACGTGAATTCCCCCGTCGTTGGAAGATCCTCTCTGTTCGCTCTGATCAGCTAGGGTTTTGGGACATTCAGAATCATAACTTCCGTCTTGTTTTAGCTGATCTATAGGCAAATCTGTTTAACAAGGCCCCAGAGAAGGGATGTTTTCTCTTGCTTATGATGATAGGAGTGAGATAGCAGCACCTGGTCATCAGCAAAGTCGAGGTCCTCGTATGCAGAGAGTAATGTCTATCGGATGCCTCTGGTCTGGTCTTCAGTTGTTCGCTGCAGCACCCAAACAATCGCAATGTTGAAGAAGAGTGCTGACATCACACACCCTTACCTCACTCCAATTGTCATTCTAAAGCTGAGTATTCTTACCTCTGCTCGTGAAGTTGTCGTAAACGCTAAACACAGTTACGATACAAGAAAACCAATTGCTATCGACCACATAACTCTCGTACTAGGATAATGGCAATAAAACGTCACAGATTGCTTAGTTGCATATTAAGTTAGGTTTTTCAATCTCCATCACATACGATATTTCATACTAATCCACGCAGGCTTAACTAACCGACCAATAGAAACGTTCCCTTAATTTATTCAGTCACATTGTGCGCTCAATATTTGATGTTTGTGCACAATCAGTGGATTCCCATAACACACCGCTGCCCGCTGTTTTCATATTTGTTTGTTATCGACTTTGATAACCACTCTCTTCTACTCTATAATATTGTAATGATATGAATTTTGGAATAATTATGAATGAGAAGAGGGGGAATCAAAAAGAGAAAAAAAAGAAAATAACAGAAAAAGAATAAACATTTTGAAATGAAGCTACAAATAATTAAACTAATCGTTTACTTTTATTGTTGAAAATACTCTAAGAGAGAATCCACTCTCAAAAAAAATTGGGCAAGTGTTGCAAGTTCATATAATTTGTTGCAACAGCAATTCAAATTATTTAAGAGGCTGTGGGTAGTTAGGTAAAGTCTGTATTTGAGCAGTGGCCCATCCAGGCCCTGAGCTTATAATACTGGTTTCCTCACATGAAGTGAGTGGGAGTAACTACACCCCTTGGATGGGATGCCAGTCCATCCCCTTTCACCCTGGCATTTCATCAGGCTTACCTGGCTATAATTTCTGCTACCTATTTAAAGGTAAACTTTACTCAGATACCAATCTATCATTACCAGTTGATGAATTGGATTCCTAAAAATCAAAGGTAGTTAGTTGAAAGGACGCTTCCAATAAATCACTAGGTGACATTTGAAGAAAAGACATCGTTTCTCAATATTTAACATGGAAATCAGTGTAACAGTACAGTTAAAAGGGAGAATCTAAGCAGTCTATCAAAAAAGGAAAAAATTACTTTTAAACTATATAAAATAATAAACATAAACGCGTGAAATAAGCTGGAAATGTTTCTTGGTTTTTGATCAAATGCATCGCAAGTACGGGAGCACATTAAATTAATATCTATGTTAGCCTGACACAAAAGCTTGTGCAAAACACGTTCATGATTGTGTGCATGACACGCAGACGAAACTGAAAGTGTTCCGATCATCAACGCCTGCACAAAATCAAATCCATGACTTAGATATTCCTTTTAATTCTCCCGAATTACTTATTTTATCCAAGGTAAATGCCGGGTATTGCCTGCGAACTTTTGTGAAGTCGACAGCTGTAACTTGTTCAAACAAGCTCAGCTTAATTAGCTCTTAAGTAACACGAAGCGGCAATACAATTTATAGACCCAAGAATCAAGTAAAAGTTAGCGATCCTCGTTAGTTAACCGCAGGGACGTCTTTCATTGTCGGAAATCAGAGAAATTAGGACACATCAAGAGCATTTGAGGGAGAAAATATTGACTGAGAAATTCGAAATAAAAGTATTTACCTTATTACTTTTTTAATATTTTTTAGTATTTACTGCGTCGGTGATGGCCATGGTATCGATAAAACACAGCGTTAGAGATACACATCCCATTGAGTAAGCATTGAAAAACCTATTGTTGTATAAATTGTTCCACTGAACTAGAGCAGTAAATGCAACTATGTTCCCCAGCCGAAATGCGTGCACCTTTCAAACTCAATTTGTTTGTTTTCTATAACGTTCAACGACGTTCACCTAAAATGGATCTATATTTCAAGTGTGTTTTTTTCTTTTTCTTTTTCATGTCCATAGGTCACCATTGTGTCTCTGGAGCCCAAACTTTTTTGCAGGAAAAATTCGTCCCCAGATATAACATTCAAACATTCATATATATCATTTGAAAAATGAGAAGGAAAAAATAGCACATCCGATCCTGAGGAACTGAGAACAATTATTTATAAGTTTACAAAATTGGATCAGTAGCTGTTTATATTTACTAACATTATTTTTACTGTCTAAATCACCTCTGAGCTAACCAGGTTCAGAATTATTTTCATATTTGTGAGAAAGAGGGCTAGTCATCGTATAAATAAAAAATGAGTTTTCCAAATGCAAAACACTAAAATGTAACGCGTAAACTTCGCAACTGCGTCCGATGTTTATGAATTGTTGATGACTATTGTTGTCTAAAGAATTTGCAGACTTATCATAACGTGTTTAATGTCCTTTAAAAGGTGCCACCTGTTGTTTGTCTATTTCCTATTGTATAAAGAGTTAGGTTACGTCTTAACTAGTGCAGTATTTGAACAAGTCGCTAAGAACCGAGTTCCGGTTTAAAAGAAGAACCCGAGGAATGAAAACAATCAATAATTTAATAGACAATGAAAACGTTTTCTCGGGCCTTTTAGAGAGCAAACTCCAGAACGCAAACGCAAAAGCACCAGCGCTGTTGCGTGTTTAGCCTGTATTCTTGCTAATCGGGTCATTATTTTGTGCGAAAGTGACTTTAAAATGCAAACGCACGCGCACTATCTTCGTGATAGCACAGTTCTGTTGAAGATGCGGATGGAGATTCACAACACTGTAGCTGTGTCTTGTCAGCGTCTTGATTTCTTTGTATAACTGGCAAAATAGGAGTAAAATTTATTATCCAAAGTAAACGTGAATCGAATTTCAATTATTCAGAATTGATAACGATGATCATGAATAATTTTGTTTCAGACTTTTTGAGTCCAACCCAAGAGTTCAAGACATATTTCCCGCCTTTAAGAGTTTGAAACTTGAAGCCGTAATCAACTCTCGATCTCTGTATCTTCACGTCAGACGAGTCATGACTGCGCTGGAAAATGCTGTGTTTTCTTTGAACAACGCAGAGGTTTTCATCAAATATTTAATGAACTTGGGAGAAAGACATAAACCATGGCCCGTCAGGCTGGAGCATTTCGATATATGTATTCTATTATGCCGATCAAGGCTACTTAGGGGTACATATTGTTGTATAGCGCTGTATTGTGATGTAAATTACAGTAGCGGGAAGTGTAGTGCTATCTAGGGGTACATATTATTGCTTATGATCCATCAAATAATTTTGCTCGCGCGCGATTGGTCTAAACGCAGTAAGTGACTGAATATTCCCTGGCTAAAACTAAGTGATATCCGAGATTATCACCTAAACGATATTCCCCAATTTGCAGACCTTACGTCCACCACGATAAGTCTTCATCTCAAAATTAATGCAATTCAGGGTAATTAGGCATTATCAACTGAATCGATAACGTAAATTGCCCACCGCAAAGAGTTTAAAAGCTCATGTTGCGAGCGTTTGCCCTTTGCAATCGCTCTGACGAAGGGCTAACGCTCGAAACGTCAGTTTTTAAACTCTTTGCAGTGGCCAATTTACGTTACCAACTCACTTGATAATACTAAATTACCATGTTATACTCTCCCACCGACGCAGCATCACAGTTTTTTTAGAAACTTAACCTTTTCTTAATTCAATTCAGTAAGCTGTTCATTAACATTTTTCACGAGCGTCGCAAAATATTTGAAGGATAAAAGACACAATAGCGTCTATTTTGCGCGAAAATATGAACGGATATTTGTCCTTGGATATTATCTGTTCCTCGAAGCTCACAGTTTCCGCATCTTGGAACAGAAAATTCGAGAAAATGACTGCGGCAAATATTCGCACTTATTTTGGCGCCAAATTGGAGCAATTGTTTATATAGCGCTGTATGGTGATTTAAAATTCAGTAGAGGGAAGCATAGTGCTATCTAGGGGTACATATTGTTGTGAAGCGTTGTCTAGTTACTGCCTTTTAAGGGTTTACAGTGCTACGCTGGGGTATAATGTTGTATTGTGCTGTATGATGATAAAACTTGCAGTAGAGGGATGTATAGGGACGGGGAAGAGGAGCATATAGGAGTGCGTATTCGAACAGACATGGAGTTTAATAATCGAAGGAACGTGTTTGCTCATGATGAATCTCACAAGTTGTCATCGGCTATGTCTCTAAGCATTATTTTTACTTATCCTTTCTCAATTATTGTTTTTTCAAAACTCTTCCTCATGCGTCTGCATCCGAGATAGCGGCTACCGACTCAGTAGAGTCTGGCTGTGGATTGGCCTGCCGCCATCTTGGATTCGTATTGTAGGTGGACCCTGGGCGAGAGTTTGACCCATTCCCAATCACATGATAGAAGAAGCCTTAATTTGGACATTGAGGGACTCGTTTCCGACTAAATGCACTGATTATGTCGCCGAGTCTTGGAGGGAGCTGTTTCGCTTTATAACTGCTATTATGATGAGAGGACTGAGGAGAGCAAGCACTGGCACCCTGTGGACTAGGAATCAATCGAAAGGAAAACTGAGATTTTACTAGAGATGACTTTAAGAGGACACCGTCCCAAAGTGGACATAATACGCATGATAACAACTACTATGGGGGAGTAACGAGGTATATGAGTTGTAAGAAGCCTGACGTTGCGCAAAGATTGAGACGAGTGAAAACTGAAACAGACATGAAAAAGATGGGAATAAAGGAAAACTGCGATGAAAAAAAAAAAAAAAAAAAAGGAAGGAACCAGAGGAAGGAGAAAAAAAAAGGATGCGCAAATGTGAAAAGGTGTAAAAACTTGTGTGAGGAAAAAGATAAAAAAGGCGCAGATATGTAACAGTATGAACACGTCCGTCGGCGTTCAAAACCGTGTGGCAATACGGAGAAAGATAGACAGTGAAAGAGATACAATCGAAGAGATGATGCGCTTTTGTTGAGTGGGCGCGGGCTTGAAACATGGAATGTTAGTACACTATTAGCTGCACACATTATCAACTTGGTGCGCGGGAATCAGAGTGGGTCAAAACAAGTATTAAAGTCCCCATAGGATCTGCTTTCTCTACATCTTACGTGCATCCTAAGAATATAAAGACAGACAATGTGAATCAACGCAGTTTTTGTATTTTATACACTATATTTCTCTTACACAAAGAAGTAAAAAAATAAGCACAATAGAAACTGCATTCAATTGTTCAAGGCATTAAGTAAAATATGCGCTAAACGGAGACGCTAAAATGAACCCATTTACTCCCAAGACTGATCATGATTTAAATTCTCCTCACGGTATTAATACACCGACAAACATGGAGTCAATAACAATTAGAGAAAATCCAAACTGGAGGATAATCTTTTACTAGAAACATAATGTTACATCGAATTCTAGGAACAAGCGGTAGCAAAGAGAAACACATTCTTATCAGTTGGGAGAATTTTTCTTCAGAACTTGGGAGTTCATGAGTTAATTAATAGAAACTAAGATAAATGAACAATTATCTTCAATTTAAAAAAAAAATAGCATCAAAACACTTCACACGAAATACACCGACATTACACAAACCATGTTTAGTTGAAACTGTCCTAGCATGTCTTTAAAATCCTAGTTACATCATATTCAACCACGCATATTATCAGACATCCTCAAAACATGCTGAGGTAAATTTAAAGCGATGAAAAAATTTCAAGAGGTGATTTTCAACAATTAGAAGTTTTATCCTGAAGCCCTGAACGTTTTCAACTACGCACTAGGTTTACATTAATTAATGAGCCTTTTCACCAAAATAATTCCCATTGAGGACTACATGGCTTACGTTAACTGCTTCTCTCATTTATGAGCGTAAATATTGTCGTACTAGAAACAACAAATTCCATGTCACATACAATAAAAGTCACACCTATGGAAACTTTAATTATAGTGAACTCTGCGTCCCTCTTTCCTAGTTTAGATTACATGGACAATTTTCAGCCTCTCCGTCGTCGTTCTTTAAAACGAACGGAGAAGTGTTTGGTAAAACGGACAAAAATTGGCCAGATTCGTTTGATTGAAAACAGGGTTGTAGCCAGCTTTTTGACTAAATGTGAGCCTCTTCCCTCACAAAATTTCTGTTTTTGTTTCAACATTTGCAAGAGGCATATTATCTTTTAGTAAAAGTCAAGCGGGCAGAAAACAATTGTAGGCCGGGCCTACGGGACTAGAGGCTGGCTACACCCCTAAAAGTAGGTGTAATGTCTCTAACATATGGTTAGTAAATTTAATAACATCATCTCTGATGTTTACTTCTTCAAATTAAGCTTAGAATGGCAATCTTGGCACTGACAGAGCTAGATTACATTAAAATGGATTGAGTTGAAAATGGTAATCAATTTTTTTGTAAAGATGAAGGTAAATTGTAACAAAGTAATTTATGATGTAGAAAACGGTCTAAGATCAATTCACATATTCAATTCACATACATATTCAATCAAAGTTTTGGAAATACAAATTCGCCAACTTTTGCAAACGACGAATTGTTTCTCTGCTTATCAAAAGCTTAGAGCATAAAGGTAATGAAAATCCGGTGGAAAAGCCCCTGGTTGGGTAAAAGAAATAACCTTTAAATTATTTTCCATAAAACTGATTGTAATACAGGAACAGAGCTGAGTGACATGTTTGTGGAAATGGAAACCTCGTTCATAACAGAGGCCTTGTTGCATTTCGTTCTCTTCGCAAGCATTTAAATTTGTTAAAGTAACAAAAAATGACAATTCCACTGATCAAAATATAATGAAATAGACTGGTTTATTTCTTCACCATATTAAAGTTGCACATCTCAAGTTCCATTTAACAAAAAAGTAAAAAAGGAAAGAAAAATAGCCAAAAATTGTTTAAAATAGAGAAACATTTAAACCTTCCAAGTTCCAACTTCATTCTTTTGAGATGAAAAATAAAATTTTCTCATTTATTTGATTTTCTATTCAAATTTTCTCTTTCCTTTGCCATCAGGTCAAACGTGAGGTCATCTCCAATCAGCAAAAAGGGCGCCCAGTACTTGATGTCGTGGAACTCATCTGATTCTCTGAGGCTTTTCATGGCCAGGTTCAGTGACTTGCTTGTAGATTTACCTTCTGCAAGGTGTTGATAAAAGCATTTCATGAACTCGAGAGTAGCCTCGTCATCAATCGCCCACAGGGACACCACAACAGACCGAGCACCAGCCCCCATAAAAGCGCGCGCAATGCCAACCACACCTTCAGCCTTGATCTCGCCCCGACCACTGTGGCAGCAACTGAGCACAACAAGTTTAGAGCAAAGTTGAACATTCAACACATCTCGAATCGTTAAAATGTAATTCTCCTTCTCCGTAGGCACAGTAGATATTCGGTCTGGGTCAGGTGTAAGAGCAATTTCGCCAGTTTCCGGACATCCGTGTGCCGCAAGGTGAACTAAGGAAACGGAACTGAGTCTTTTCAACACCTCACGTTTCGTGGCTTTTCTGCCAGTGATTGGCGTGATATTCAGAATTTCTCCGATCATTTCTACTTCTTCTTTAGCACACGGAAGCTGCTCGAGGACTTTCTCTCCCTCGCTGTTAGTAACCTCGGATACCCACGGATCTCCTACAAGTAACGCATCACTGCTTTTGTCATAATCATTTGGGCAATCGGCAATGAGTCTAAGACTTGCTAACGATGGAGCGACTCGGATTGTGAACGATTCACACAGGTATTTAGAATTACCATCCTTCAATGCAGCGTAAGGAGCGATCCACAGGGGTCCATCAGGAATAATGAGTAGCTCATCCCCTTGAATCAAGTCAGCCACCGGCTTCATAACGATATCATATAAACTGCTCAAGCATCCGTCTTGTTGGAAGTGAGGTTGAGGGTTGGCTTCTTTGGTTTTCTCATCCACTTTTGAACGGCCCTCCCTCAAAGCATCTAAAGATCGATTCTCGCATCTCACATTAGAACGAACACCAAGTTGTGTATAGACACCGAGCATGAACGACTCAAAGGACTGGCTAGATCCACTATTCTCTGAAACAAAACCTTTGAGTTTACTTTGTCTTAACTGAACTTGTTTTCCTTCGGACACAACCCAAAGATTGACGTTAGCTTCGTCCACTGCCTGAAAGACAGTGTTTGATGGAACGTTTTTTAAAACTGCGCAATCTTCATCATCTCCCTTCTGGTGACTTGTTCCACCACGAAAACTGGATTCCATGAGGTCGGTTAGAGCTTGAGCTCGTCCTTTCTCAGCAACAAATAAGGCTTCATCTACATTACCTTGTTCTACGAGAACTCTCCACAAACCCGTATACGCGATTTGATGCTTATTTCGAAAATTAACTTTCCACTCATCTTTAGATTTTAGAAGTACTCTCAAGGAATTGAATAAGCTTATGCTAGCTTGGTAATGTTCAACGGCTTTTGGCAGTCCACCTTGCAACTCAGAAACGCATCCTAATGAACAGTAGGCCGTTGCCTCCAAGGATTTGTCGCCTACTTCTTTAGCTATTTTAAGATCTAGGTTGTGGTACTCTATGGCTTTTTTGAAATCACCCAGACTTTGATAAGCATTGCCAAGATTGCCATAAGCACCACCCTCCCCATGCTTGTTTCCTACTTCTTTAGCTATTTTAAGATCTAGGTTGTGGTACTCTATGGCTTTTTTGAAATCACCCAGACGGCCATAAGCATTGCCAAGATTGCCATAGGCACCACCCTCCCCATGCTTGTCTCCTACTTCTTTAGCTATTTTAAGATGTAGGTTGTGGTACTCTATGGCTTTTTTGAAATCACCCAGACTTTGATAAGCATTGCCAAGATTGCCATAAGCACCACCCTCCCCATGCATGTCTCCCACTTCTTTAGCTATTTTAAGATGTAGGTTGTGGTACTCTATGGCTTTTTTGAAATCACCCAGACTTTGATAAGCATTGCCAAGATTGCCATAGGCACCACCCTCCCCATGCTTGTCTCCTACTTCTTTAGCTATTTTAAGATGTAGGTTGTGGTACTCTATGGCTTTTTTGAAATCACCCAGACTGTGATAAGCATTGCCAAGACTGCCATAAGCGTTACCCTCCCCATGCTTGTCTCCTACTTCTTTAGCTATTTTAAGATGTAGGTTGTGGTACTCTATGGCTTTTTTCAAATCACCCAGACGGCGATAGGCATTGCCAAGATTGCCATAAGCACTACCCTCCCCATGCTTGTCTCCTACTTCTTTAGCTATTTTAAGATGTAGGTTGTGGTACTCTATGGCTTTTTTGAAATCACCCAGACTTTGATAAGCATTGCCAAGATTGCCATAAGCACCACCCTCCCCATGCTTGTCTCCTACTTCTTTAGCTATTTTAAGATGTAGGTTGTGGTACTCTATGGCTTTTTTGAAATCACCCAGACTTTGATAAGCATTGCCAAGATTGCCATAAGCGTTACCCTCCCCATGCTTGTCTCCTACTTCTTTAGCTATTTTAAGATGTAGGTTGTGGTACTCTATGGCTTTTTTGAAATCACCCAGACTGCGATAAGCATTGCCAAGATTGCCATAAGCACTACCCTCCCCATGCTTGTCTCCTACTTCTTTAGCTATTTTAAGATGTAGGTTGTGGTACTCTATGGCTTTTTTTTTTTGAAAATCACCCAGACTTCATAAAGCATTGCCAAGATTGCCATAAGCACCACCCTCCCCATGCTTGTCTCCTACTTCTTTAGCTATTTTAAGATGTAGGTTGTGGTACTCTATGGCTTTTTTGAAATCACCCAGACGGCGATAAGCATTGCCAAGATTGCCATAAGCACCACCCTCCCCATGCTTGTCTCCTACTTCTTTAGCTATTTTAAGATGTAGGTTGTGGTACTCTATGGCTTTTTTGAAATCACCCAGACGGTGATAAGCATTGCCAAGACTGCCATAAGCGTTACCCTCCCCATGCTTGTCTCCTACTTCTTTAGCTTTTTTAAGATATAGGTTTAGGTACTCTATGGCTTCTTCTCCCCAATTATAGAAGTCTATGACTTTCTTGATATCACCTGAACTTGCACTAACGTGGTCATGACTAATAGGATCTTTTTCCTCCATGGACTTATCTCCCACTTCTCTGACAGACTGAAGTCTTAATGACAACAAGACCGTATTGTTTTTGTCAATCTTTTTTTATGTTAAGGGTTAAATGTGGAAAAACACAAGAGATTATGTTTCTGATCATATTGATATGTAATAGTCCATTTTAACATTTGCGTGCTTAGTTCCCAAGCCTCTGAACAAGAGGGATGATAAAGGGTGACCTTGTTATGATAAAAAAATTGCTGCTTTTTAAATGCAAACTATTTTGTTATTATCGTTTCTAGATACTGGTCTCTATCACAACAGGTCACCTTCAGCCTCACTCCAAATCAAAGGCTTGGCAACTAAGTACACGACTATAAAATGGCCCATTAGGAGGGCTTTGCATGAAAGGTAGATGATTTATCAACATTCAGTCTTAAAGTCAGTTATGAAGTAAATCTACACTTCAAAAAATGTTTTTTCTATCTACAGCCTCAAAATTTAACGCGAAATATCTAGATTTAATCCTTAGTTTCCAAAAACTGAGCAGCACTTGCTCAATTTTTAAATTAATATAGCTTTAACATCAGACAATTATTTTACAGCAGTGGAAGAAATGAGTCTACAACACAAAGACATGTCTTTAAATTTTTTATTTGGCAAGCAGGACGAAAGTTTCCGAGTCTCTAAGTAGTGGAAAAAGGTCGAAGGCAAGAAAATCTACATAAAATATGTAAACATTACCGAGCTTTTTGTTCTGGCTTGTTTTAGAGAGATCATCTACGCAAGTACTATGTATAAACTGGATGAATATTAGTCTTCTAACCCTTTAACTCCCGTGAGTGACCAAAAGAGAATTTTTCCTTACAATAACAACACAATATCAATCAGATAAGTGTTGAGAGTAAAAAAAAATATATCAATCTGAAAATAGTTAGTTGATGCAATACTGAATTCTCTGTACTAACATTACAAGAATTGTATGGTTGACAGTAAGGATAATTACAAATTTGGTCTGGGAAATTAAAGGGTTATTTAAACTAATGTACCAGTTATTGGCATGGATAGTAGAACTAAGTCAAATTGACTAAAAGGAGTAATTTCATTAATAAGTCATGAGGTAATAACTTCTCCTATGTTTTTAATCACACACACTTAAAGTATATGAACTGATAAGTTCCCATCATAATTAATACCCTTCTTTGTATTTTCTCCCTTAAAACATCAAATTATGGAAACTTTTTTTTTATACCCACGGTTAAAAATGAAAGATTCCTTCAAAGGATACAGCTAGTCCCTTATCACACCAAGTGATTGCTCTTTCAAATCTCTTCAATTCAACACAAGCAGTGGCTCCTGTAGGCAACAACACAAACAAGCATACTATTACTGTAGCTCAATTCTGAGAAAAGAACCTGAAACCATTGAAATCATTACAGACCAGAAGAAAAAAAAAGACAAAACAAAACAAAATAAACTAAACAGGCCCTATTAGGTTTCAGTTAGATTTACTTAGCTTTACAGACAACTGAAACTTCTAAGAACACTTAAATTGGGATCAACAACTCCCACAAAAACGCTAAGAGTTAGGTAAGTCCTGATCCTTCTTTCTAAAACAGCTAGATAGTGACTTAAGAGCGTGTCCACGAGAGCACCGGGCAGTCGTGCTACATGCCATCTCACCGATTTCAATTAAACTTTGTCAGTTTAAAGGCTCTACCCCAAAACTCAAAAAAACAGACTGGTTTCTGTTTTGGTTTTTTCCGTGGGAGATAGACCACCCCCGGTTTTTCTTGGTTTTCACCAATGAAATCGCTTCAAATAGGTAAAATGTATGAAGCTCTCACTACGATGGTATTTAGCCAATTACTTTGAGGATTTGCACACATATTTTTACATCCTTAGTTAATAGCCGCCGCGAGTATCAGTCAGTTCGATTGACGGCTTGTCAATCAACAGAGGCAAATATACGACTGTGTTTTTAGACTTTTGGATTCATCTAAATATTTGACAACTTTGAGGTCAAATATCTCCCGTTGCCAGAAAGCTACAACACTAATCTTAATTACCCTTTATAACCCATCATTTCATCTCTGAAAATCATCAAAAAAATCTTTGGGCACTACCGTATTTTTGTCTTGGATACCTTTTAAAATCTGCGACTGTGACAAGTTTCTCTTAACTACACCTGTCACGCACTTCTTGCTCCAGGCGGTCACTTGACAAAATAAACCTATATTTGTTAGCTCTTTATACAAGATGATTGATCAAGAAAGGTGAAAAATGTGAAAAACTTTCGAGATTTTTGGTAGGAATGGAAAATTTCACGTTTAGAGAGATGCATGTTGACGAAAAATCAATGGGAAAATCGTTGCGTTTCTTTCTTCAGTCGTTTATTACTTTGAAGATTTGCTAAAATCAGGACATAGGGCTCTTGTACAAAACAAAACATTCATTAGCCTATACTTTGATCGTCCATTATCATTATCGCACAGTTTACAATAAGGAAACTGTAACAGTAGAGGAGATTTTAAAGTCACATGTCGCCTGCTTGATGACGTACAAGTTCCCGAGTGTAACAACTTCGGCTTTTCCATACCGCGAATGACGGGAAACTCTGCCCCCCTTATTTGATAGGAAATATCAATAGCCCCATAAATTCATTAACTACGCCATGTTTCCAGAAAATAAGACTGGAAAATGTTTTTTCCACTTTCCACCATCAAGAAATTCCACGTATAGAAATAGTATTTGTAGGGTTACTGCGTGACTTTTCATGAGAAGTAAAAATTGTTCATCTTTTCTTTTCAAGAAGACACTTCTAGAAAGTTCTTAATCCTTCTGTTATCTTATTTTCCTGTTTTTTGACTGCAAATATCATTTGCATTTGCTATTATTTTCGCTGATTGTCATGGCCTTTCCTGCGAGCACGTGCGAGCTAGTTCATATACAGGACTCTTTCGAGTTTCTCTGGGTGGTATCGGGCTTAGGTGTGTGAAGGTCTGGCTCGAAAGATATCTGCACGCTGCAACACGGGTTCCCATGTTTTCTCCTTTTTCTTCATTTGGATTTTCTTTCTCTTGCTTGCATCATCACACATTTATGTTTTTTTATTCCCTCAGCGCGTTCTCTCAGATTTGGAAGTAGGCCATGAAAAGTCAATATTGACCAGAACTGAAATCCTTTTCTATCACTATTTGTTTCAGAGAACCCCCGTCATTTGTGACTTTATTTCTCAAGAAAATGTGTTTTTATTTGCTATTTATTTCCATTAGAACATGAAACTAGGTCTTGATAAGTTTTTTTTGTCTCGTGACTCCCAAAAACTGTGTTTGCTACAACATCAATTGAGAAATCAAAGGCAATTACGCCTGAGAAATTCGCTTGTAGCCTTCTAACCGCAGAAGGCAACTCCATATAATGAAACGTTCTAAGACCTCTATAAACTAGAGACATTGCGTGATGTTGAGGGGTGAAATATTTACCCTAAATCTGTGACCCTCAAACGGATCACGTACTCGTAGATGTAACGTCCGGAAAATGTCACGCATGTATAACACCTTAGGCGCACCTGGCGAATTCTATCCATTGGCTTCAATAGCAAAGAGACAACTTATTTACTATTTGTATATGAGAAAGCTTATTTACCCTACTTGAAAAAATCCTTGATGAAGTCTACTATTGTCAGACGAAACGCGTGGGAGATAAATACAAGTTTTTGCTTTCTCAGTTCGTGCAGTGATGCTCACTAGTTTGTTCCGTCAAAAACGCTTATAATGTGAAATCACGTCGACCTCGACAGAAAAATTAAGCTCACCCTGTCATAATCAATGGTTTGATACCGTAAGTACCAATTTAGGTACATCATTGGGCTTTGATCACAATGATAAAAAAAATGTGCGTTTCCTCACGCTCGCCACGTTTATTCTTTGGAAAATTATTTTACTGGAGGGCGATGTCGCTTACCTTGGCGCGTCTTGACTCTGGCCGACGAAAATTATCGAGGTGAACTCCATGAAATTCTAGTCAAATGTTTTAAAAACTTTGTCTACCCTTGATTTGCACGCAGAAAAAAAATGCAAATTCCGAACGGTATTTCAAAACATTTTATTCATTAGTCAATTTATGAACTGTTTTATAGCAGCCCGAGGAAAAAGCAAAATTGAAACAACCGGCGTATCGGTCAAATGAATTCCAATTTTTTCAACAAGGAGTTGGTAAGTTAATTTTTCCTAGTAAATTTAAGTGGGGGTCATTTTTTTGTGACAGCCGATCAAAGATAGACATCTCTGAAATGTCTCTGAAACTCTTTTCAAAAAGAGTTTACACTTCCGGTAATATTTTCCTCCTTGCAACAGCGCAACAGACATTGTTAATCCTATGTAGTGTAGGTGTATCAGTTGTATTACATCTTCATAGTGATGCCATGTAAGAAATCGAGTGTCTAAAAAGCCCTCAATTCAATCTAACACTCGAATTGATAAAGTCAAGATGGTGCAGTTGTCTTGTTCATTTGCAACTAACTGTAGAACCAAATGTTATTTTTCTCGCGCTGGCCAGGGACGGCAACAGCTCATACCTCTAAATTCGTGGGTATACAGCTTAAAAAAAACATTTGAGAGACGTCGGTGTATCCCAAACATGCGTTTCGTCCGAGATGGAGCTTATTCTAGCGCGTATTGGCTTATTTGGAGATTACGAAGGCCGCGATTTCACGATGTACCTCAAATATCGTGCACAACTTGGTGTGAGATTCAGACCTTCGGGTTCGTAAATGCCAGTATCCTCCTCATAAAAATCGGAGACATAAAGTGAGAGAGAGATGAATCTGCAGATGGCAGAAGAAATCAAAGCTGGTGGCGAGTCTTCCTGGTGGCGGCAAGGTGACTGTAAACCTAAATAGAACGCTTACTGTAGCTGCTATCTTAGAGTCGGCAATGAATAAGGAAGAAGGGCAAGAAGAGCGCTTATCTGAACATCAGTTTTCCTAACTGGTGATTTGTGACTGAGATGAACTTTATATCATATGATTGCTAGGGATACGCAGGTACTGTAGAGGAGCTCACATAGATAGAGGTGGGCGATCCTCCCTCTGACTTAAGAACTGCGACAAGTTTATAGCGCAGACCAACTGGCACGGTTTGAAGCACCTCAGGGTCTCACTAGGCTCATCACATTAGAAACCTTCAGCAAACTAATCGTAGAAGCGGGTGGTTATCAGCAACGTGCACAGATTTCTGAACGCGGGTCATCGCGAGAACTATACCCAATCCGTCATAGACGGAACAAGAAAGCGAGATATTCTTGCTAAAAGAAGGATGTATCAAGACGTTTCAGTCATTGGCTGCCATCCAAATGTACCCTGACAAAGACAAACACAGTGAAGCCGACAAAAAAATTCCGCCTAGGATAAGATCAAGAGGAAATGGACTAAGACCGGCTTGCCATTCTATAGGGGATGGCTACGTTCAAGGTCGGACCTCAGGTAAAAATTCTGACGAACAATCCTTAACTAGCCAAGTGGACTTTGGATGGGCTCTTTGGAAAACACAAAAAACAGCCACCTTTTCTCAGAAAGCAGAGAATTATCTCCTAGACGTGTGCTGGGCAAGGGAGGAAACTAGTAAGGCAACCGCCTCTAATGTGATTTCCCAAATATCGAGAGAGTTTAAGAGACGACACCAGTCAGAAATGTTGTCTAAGACTGACCGGTTGATACAGCAGCAAATCGCTCGATACTTCAGCCGGTTATCTGCCGTAACAAAAATTGGTTTATTGATGAGGTCCCCCTCTGTAAATATGAATGAGGACGGAGAGGCCGATGCCAATGATCTAGCTTCAGAATTCGAAACTGACCGAACAAGGCAGAAGATAAGGAGGAACCTTGCAAAGTTTAAACGAAGACTGCAGGAGAGGGTACAGCTGCTATTAAGCTTAAAAAAAAAAGACATTTGCATCTCACTTTTCTTTCACATTTATTGTCTTTGCTCACGAAAACAACTGGCTATGTCTTGGGATTTCATCAAGGGAGATTTGCAGGAAGCCTACTCGTCAAATTACTTCTGGCTCATTCTTATTTTAAAATTTTACAAGTCACGCAATTAAACCCGGCAACACTCGATCTAGAGAGATGTGGATTTATATGTAGTAATAGAATGCTTGAAAAAATATGCAGATATTTTACAATCGAAGCAGGCAAATAATCATAGAGAGCTGCAGATTATTCTGAAATTGTTATCTAGCAGACAGCATGAACAACGCGCTTGAATAATTCCTACGGAGAGTCTTCGGGTCACACAACAGATGTTAGCTTAGCGGAGTTCTGCATGGAAATGTTCGATGGCGGTAAGTGACAACGACAACACTATTGAATTTTAT